GCCCTGAATGAGAAGCTCGATACTTTGCTTGCCTCTGCATCTTCCTCTTCTACCACTGAATACTTCGAAGCAGCGGTCAAAGCCCTGTTCTCTACACTGGTCAAAGAGCATCAGGAATCGATTGATAAAGCCACCAAAGTCGTGGAAGCTTCTACCACTTCTTGTCAGAAAGCGACCGAAAATGTCGAAAAACTAATCTCAGATGCTCGATTATTTTTGGAATCTAAAGATCAACCAAGCGAACAAGGTTATTGATGAGCTCCAGTCTGAAAAGACAGTCATGAAGACATGTGTGGGTGATGTCAGTATCCTACTCACCAATCTGCTTGATGCTCATGACTCAATCCTTACCATCAGTGTCCGCCGACACTTAGCAGAAAAACTTCGTCCAGCACTTGAGATCCAGCATCGCCTTGAGGGTGTTTCCGAGGCGGGTGCTCCTCTGAAACAAGGGGAGAAGTAACTCAAGAACATCCTACTCAACCTCCTCCTACTCAACCTCTAACAACGGAAACAACTCAGACTCCTCCAAAACCGAAAGTCACCAATGAACCAAAGGGTAATGCAGCTTCGAGTTCCAAAGAAAAGAAAATTATCGACGAAAGTGAAGAAGAAGAAGAAGAAACTGAAGAAGAGTTGTTAAAGCGAAAGCACCGTGATCGAACTCTAGATGAAAATCTCAAAATTGCACGGGAAGCCGAAGAGAGTGAACGAAAAGAGAAATAAGTCCATGACATTTTGGAAAGTAGAAAAACTCTCTTTCCATTGTGGACATTGGAAAAGTTGCTGAAAGAAGCAATCGAGTCTCCAAGCACTCATTGGCTTGAGTCAGTCATTTCTTTTGACTTGGAGAATTATACAGACTCACAGTTTGATATGCCAATCACTCGAATGGCATTTGTTTTTCACTGCTTCGAGCCGAAAGCATCAATTCCCTCTCCTGACGTGAAAACTGATCGTTTTTAATTGATTACTATCTTGCTTTTTCTCAACCTCAGTACTTGACCTGGAGTGCACAGAAAATTACATCGGTCAAAGTTCTAAAACCAGTCGCTGCAGGAAGCTTTATCAATGTGAAGTTTCGGGTGACTCGAGGTTCTGAAAAATTGGTTCATGAGATCTCTCTTGCTGATCTTCCGAACCTTAACCCCCACGATTGGATCCTGCTCACAAATTTTCTGCTAACTGAAGAACAGAAGTATGACCCTATTCTTGCTCACATAAAGCGAATGCTGGTCTCATACATTCATGAAGTCGCGAAGCTTGATCAGGAGATCGCCTCTGCCTTGAGGAAAAAGCCAACTGTCAAACCAATTGGTAAAGCAAGCGATGTGAACAAGATGCAAATGGGCAAAATAGACACGAAATATCTCACAGTGATGTTCACTCGTGGAGAAAATCAAAAGTGTGTGTTCGCCTTACCCGACAAACACGTGTTCTCCACTACCTGTTTGGAGCACATCTTGAATATTATAAACAGGTGCAAACAAAATGACGAAGCTATTAAGAAGAACTTTAATGACATGCTTCACTGGTATATCAGTTTTCGTCATACTCTACTGGCTATCATACCAAAGCTGTTCAAGACAGTGAAGAAGACAAAACAGGTACAACAGTAGATTTCTCTCGCCTCAATTGACGCAAAGGGGGAGATTGTTGGGTATAGAAGATTGCGTCATTAGGCTTTTTGCTTTAGTCCATTTTGTATACGGTTTTGGGCCTGTCCAGCCGTCATTGATTAGGGTTATAGTATCTATATATAGTGCATGCATGCACCGTGTATGAAGGAGTCGTTGATATCATTATTGTAACCCTACCACACCTCTACAGTAGCAATTCTTAATAGAGTTCTTATGGGGTTGTGGCTTATTAATCATTCGACATTAGTTTGATTCATCTTGTGTTCTTATTTACTTTGTGTTCTTGTGTTGCTTGTTAAGAATCTTATCGATCTTAAAGAGTTTCAGTCTCATCAAATGGTATCAGAGCAGGAGGCTGTGTAAATAATACACATCTCTCTATTAGAAGAAAATCTTTAGGGTTTCCGCTTTTATCGATTCCATTGGAGCCGTCATCACTTTATTGACGCTGTTCCTAGATCTCGATATTACCCTAACTCAATCTTTACAAGTCTGATTCTTGATAGGTACGCAGATGTAGGTGGGGCCCGCTGGAGATGCTCTTTTTTCTTTTCCTTGATAGCTTTTGGCCATTTTTTTGTTTTCCTTGCTTTATGGTTGGCTGACGAGAGGCACAAGTGTACCACACCAAAGACCATTGTTGTAATTTAATAAAATGTGTACAAACTATGTACTGAAATAGCTTGGTTTAAATTCTATACTTGGGTATTCAAAAATGATCACATGTGTTTTGGTAAAAAATGGTAAACACCAAATGGTATCAACAGGCGAAATTGCTTACGAAAATCGTCAATTAAAAATGGATTTTTTGGGAATATGTGAACCAAGTAAGGTAAAAACCCACAAAAAACTTATTTTCTCTTTGTACACTATTCTTGTACATTTTATTACCCTTTGTAAACCCATGAGCTGTAAGTTGTTACTTTCAAGCTTTGTACTAGGAAACATGTACCATTTCTTCTACCTTTTTTTTACCAAGTGGTAAAATTTAAATAGGTAGGGTAAATTTTTGTATGGTCTTCAAAAATATCTGATGTATTTTGCTGAAAGAATACATGATTTTTTTTTTGCTTTTGTCCATCAAGATAAGACAAACACATGCACTTTTCTTGTATTTTTGATAATATTTGTACAACTTATGAGCTATAATTTTCAAGATTCGTTCCTCTAAGGTGCGTTTTGGTGAAAGTGATAAATATGAACATGGTTCTTGGGGTTTTGCTGAGTTTCTTGATATGTACAGGCTTTACAGCTGTATGTACAAATACCAACTTTAAATCACCGAAATACAAACTAAAATCGATCTGAGAATGTTTTTGCGAGCTTCAGAAATGTTCAAATGAACAAGAATTGAACAGATCTTGAGATCTGAGCGAAAATAATGAAGCTGATCTAGAGACCCGGGCAAAAACGGAATAGATCTAGAGATCTGAGAGAAAGAACGGAGCAGATCTAGAGATCTGAACGTTTGGTAAACAGATCTGGACAGATCGTGGCAAGAGCCGAACAGATCCGGACAGTTAATGGTAGAAATGAATAGATCTGAGCAACCTTGAGGCGAAGAACGATATATCTGAACAAATCGGAGGCGAAACTGAGGTTAAGACCAAGAGACGATAGTTATTCGTTCTTGTTCCCACAGATGGCGCCAAATGTTGCGACATGTGCTCAGGTTACCGGGTTTTCTATGTTGGATCCAAATCGGAGATCTAGAAATGGTATCGTGAACGAGTTTCCGACGAGATACCTAAGATGCAGTCAAAACAAAGTTGTTAGAGTTGCCCCAGGGACTGTGCCCCGGGAGCAAGCTCCAACGATCAAGTTAGATCGGTTGGTAGAGATGAGATGATTCTCCCTAACTGGAGAGAACCATCTTAGCGTGTAGGGTGTATGTTTAGCAATGAAGGCTCCAGGTTAGAGAAGGTGATTAGAAGCTTGTTCGAAGCTGCCTCCTCTCCTCAAGGAGGAGGAAACATTCTATTTATATAGGGTAATTAGGTCAAGGAAGAATTAGGCCAGGCCTTGGGCCAGCCCAACTCAAGCCCAGCCAGCAAGGAGCTGAGTAAGAGTGTCCGGGCGCCAGGCCCGTCAGACAAGGCTAACAAGCGAGCGCCAAGAAAGCGCTAGGCAAGGCTGGCCGTATGGGCCATGCTAATGGACCATACGTTAACCTACATATCCTATGCGACGTTCAGCTCATTGAATTATCTAGATAACTTGAAATTTCTTAATCAGTTTTCATTTATGTGGGGAATTGTTGGTAAACTAAATGGGTTAACCATTTTGGAACATAAATTATATTTTGTTGAGACTTCAAATGGAAATATGTTCATGGGTTTATGTTGTCGTACACAATACTTCCATTTTGGTATAGTAAGTGTCCAAAACAAACATATGAATAAGAAATTAATCTATGGAAGATTGAATGATTTTCTGAGTGATGATTTGAGGTCATCCCACATAGGAGGAATAGTTACAAGAATGTGGATTTATCTATGGAGGCATTCCATGTGCTTTTAAGCCTTAATACCACAAAGACTCTCTATTACATGCAAGGGATGCAAATGTGGATTGAGATTGGCTTCGGTTAACTAACCTTTATCCTGACACGAATCTGTCGACCTAAAAAATGTATAATACATTTTGCTAGATTTTACTTTTCATTTTCATAAATGACAAATAAATATGGTATTAATGTTATAAATTAGATTAATGATGGAGTATTAAGATATCGGTTTATTGTGTTTAATAATCAACATAATTAGTTTATCTGTTTTGATTTGATAATTATAGTGTGGTTACAGGTTTGTCGTATAAATACGGATTCTTGCATACACATTACAGGACTGAAACTACAAGTTTTGAAGCTTTTACCAAGGTAATATATGGGTGTAGTTGAGTTCAACGGTTTCGAAGAACCATTTATTCTTGTTGTATCATGAGAAACGAACATGTGATAATGGGGAAAATACGTTTTAAACAAACTGTGTCAAACACAAGCCTCGATCTATGTTCAATTCTATGTGTTCTCTATCCCTACAATTCTCTTGTTGTGTCTTTGTTATTTTCTTCATAGCTTTTTGAGGCATTTCATTTCACTATATTTCCTTTTATTGGATCTTTGTTTGATTTCCCTTGGATTTGAGTTTGCTAAAACCACTTGAGAAATCGGCGCTTTTGAACTTTTCAAGCATAAGAGCAATCGCCGGATGCAAATTAATCCTTCATGTATTTCCATTCTCTTTATCTTGTTATAACAGATAACAATCGCAAAAACTTATCTTCTAACTTATACTTAATTCAATTGCAATTGCAAAGGTCAAATACATACATATATGTACGATCTATGGATCAATCAATAACCATTTTCTTAACTTAAATATATAAACCATTACACCTAAAAGAATCTCTCCCATGCATGGTATGTTATGGTCTATCACGTTTTTCCGAAATAAGTGCATAAATAGCATCCGAAAGCTTATTAATCGATGTGATCAGACCAGTGATCCCTTGACGATTAACTTCATTTCGTGTCTCTTCCAAGTGAAGTCTTTGTTCTTCAAGTTCCATCAATTCTCGGTGTCTTTTCTCCTTCTTCTCCTCAAAGCGTTTTAGGGTTTCTGATAATACTCTGGTACTGTGAACAATGCTACTTCCGATGTCTCTCACCCTTCTCCTTTTATTATCATTGTCTGCATCTTCTCCTTCTGTTTCCGATGATTCTACTGATGCTTCTGAAATTTATGTTAACAATCAGTTATATGGAAAACGTAAAAGTTTTGAGAATAAGAAAAGTGATATATATATATTCAGTTAATATAAAGTTGAGATATTAATTATTGATTCTTAAACATGAACTTAAGATAGTGTACGTGGTTAAAGATTCGTATATATGCAGTAGGTATTTGTTGCAATGTAATTGTAAAGCAGAAGAAAGAAAAGGTAGATCTTGCAATCAATGGCTACTACGAATCTTTGTGCAGTTGCAGGCCACCACTCCCACTTCAACCCATCATCACTACACTCCAAAATACCATAAACTTACAAAAACTATAAAAATATGACCATTCAAACCACTTATATATATAATTTATATTTATATATATAATATAATGTAATTCATCATAATAGTTTAACTTTTGTTACCAATTCTTTCATCTACATGTAAATGTAATTTTTTATTTATCTTTCAAAAATCATGTTGTAGAGAAAGAAGAATGGTGATTGTTCTCTTTCAAAAAAAAAAAAATGGTGATTGTACAATGTCTAGCCAATATATACACCTCTTAAGACTTGATTCTACCTCTTAAGACTTGATTCTGATATGAGTTAGACATGTAAAATTCTTGTTTTCTTTTTCAAACATAGTTGAGTATTAAATATGTGGATTTTCTCTAACAAAGAGTTTTTGGTATAGAGGGGTATATGTTTACATGTGGAAATCTTGATTTTCTCTCACAAAGAATTTTTAATAAGAGACACCAACATATATATCGTTTTGTTGTATTATATGAGGCCTAAAACTTGTCATAAGTAAAGTGCATATTTTGCGACACTGTTTTGTTTTTTTGTTTAATTTATGCAACTGGTTTTTTTAATAGAGATATGCTACAATATATACCTATAAAACTGGTTTTTTAATCTGACATATGCAACAATATATAACTACAGAACGGTTATTTCATCGCATGAAACAAATTTAATTCTTATCTTCTACCAACTTGTGGAACAATACCTCATATTAAAATGTTGTACACCTAAATACATTATGCATGTTTAATCATATATTTATGTTTATAAAAATTGTGATAAAAAGTTATAGAAGTGGAGAGTTTGAATAGTGTGAAAAAGGTTCCTGAAAGGGAGGACCCACATGATGCCAAGAGCTTTTAGAAGTACTTGATGGTAGCGAATGAGCGAATGAGATGGTGAGGTTGTAAAAGGAATTCACAGCTGTTGACTGTACTGTATAAAATCCAGAGAACCATAAATGGAGGAAAGGGTTGCAATAACTGTGTGCCAGAGTTTTCAAACCCTGCATCTTTGACCAACATTATCTCTCTCTATAACCGACGCCAAAACTTCCATCAACTTTTTATTTTTTTCTGACATTTCGTATTATTATTTGTTTATTTTTAAATTCCAAGATTCATAACATTTATTCTTATATTCCTACTAATTGTAACAAAAATATTAAAGAATTTGCTTCATTTATTATTTTATTAGTTGCTTGTATTCGAATCGTTAAGAACAAATATATGATTGAATGTGTTGTATTTTTTGTATTTTTTTTTAAATGGTAAATGTGAAGGGTAGAACTATTTGTATGGATAATTTACATATTTTATAAAGAATTGCAGACGTTTTGTTGTTATGCATTTATTAAATCCATAAAATGATAGATGTAAGGTATAGTTTTATGTATTTTGTCTGCTCATTTTTTATTATAGTACTCATGTCTAGTTAATATTATTAATATGAAATGACATTTGCAAGGGCACAAATGCAATGTCAAAAATGAGAATGGTACAATCAAGAAGGCTAACGTTTTACTCATTTCCTTCGTCTTATTACTTTTTTCCAATGTTTTATTTATTAAAAATACAACAATAATATTATCTTTGTGTGACTTATTAAATTATGTAAATGACAAAAAAAAAATAACACATATGTGCTATTTTTGATACATTGTATATTTTTACTTGAAGTAAAAATGTATATATATCTTTTAATAAAAACGTACTTACTTTTTTAATACTAATATAATACGATTTGTGATCAACATACATTTATTTCTCAATCCTAATAATAATAAGGTATTTATTATGATTAAAAAATAAGTACAAATATTTTGTTCTTTTTTGAAACAATAAAAATTAATTGGTATTGTTTTAAAAAAAAAAGAAAAAGTATGAATAGATTGTTATAATAAAAAGATAATACACAAATACATGATTATTCTCCCATAGTCCTATACCAAAAACGACGGATTTTCCCCACATTACTTTTGTCAAATACACATCTTTTGTAGTTGATGTCATTTAAAATTTATGAAATAACTAGTTTATACATTTTTTTTTTAATTTCAGAACACGTTAAATTAAGAATCATAAGATCTAATTATCCATAAACTGTTGTAGTGTGTGTAAACGACTAAACGTGTATTTTCGAATTACCTGAAGCAGGAGGAGGAGGAGGCGGAGGCGGAGGCGGAGGGTGATGTTGAGATGACGATGGCTGAGGAGGAGGTAGCGACGACGGAGGCGGCTGGGGAGGTGGAGGGACTGCGAGAGGAGGCTGTTGTTGAGGAAGACAATGTCGCTGGGGGGTTTTTTTCTGAACAACGTCGTTTAGTGCTTCATAGATATTAAGTAGCAAGTTCGATGGAAGATTTCGATCTTTGCGTTGGGTTTTATCCATCGACCAATACGACGGACGATTTTGCGCCGGTGATCGGAGTTCGTACTCACGGACCTTCTTGTAGTCGCGGAGCAAGTTATCCCACTTGTCATTGCACTGGTTCTGACTACGGAAGCAGCCATTACTCCAACAGTAATTCTCTACCCATTTCCACCTCAGCTCCCCGCCGGTGGCCGCACGGCTGTTTGCTGTGGCGGAGGTGGTGGCGTTAATTCGACGCTCATCATCCAGCTTCTTTGCGGTGATTAGGACAAGGGTCTCTTCGAGGGTCCAGTTGCCTTTCCGGTACTCTCGGTGGTTGGAAGCAGGCAACAACACGACGTTGGATGTGGTTGCGCCACCGTGGGTTATGGGCGGCAGATGGTGGTTTTTGTACGCGATGGCAGGATAAGGTGTTACATTCACAATATTAGGTGGTGTTGTGGTGGACGTGTTGGGAGGATCAGACATTATTGCGGCATTACAAGAACTATATTCCATTTCAGAAGCAAGTGTGTTCAATATATACATATACGTATATTCTTATTTGGAAACATTGGTACTCTAAACTATGCTTACTATTAATAATATATGCTTTTACATTAATTAATAATGGAAGCATAATAATCTTTAGACACATACTTTGTGATATAATGATTTACGTTTTAGATCTAGAATAATATTTTGCCCGCTGCACGTTGTTGCGGTACCAAATACGTTTTGTAAATTGAATTTTGACAATTGTATTGATAAAAGTTAGACATTGTTGTAATTGTTGGTAGATAAATATACATGGTCGATATAACTGACAAAATTGTCGCCGAATGGGATAAATACGAAAGTTTAGAAAATCGAGGAGATGAAAGTAACATTTTACAAAGTTCAAAACCGAGGGGGTCAAAGTGATATTTGACAAACTTGAGGGGTGGTAACGTTAGAAAAATCATATTATATATATTACAAAACTTCAGAAAAATGAGGGGTGAAGATAACATTTAAAAAGTTCTAGATCGATGGACTTAAAGTAACATTTTACAAAGCAAATTATTAGAAAGTGCCATTTCACCAAGTTGAAGTGTGGCGAGTCGGTGGATATGTCCACCGAAGGTCGGTATCGTTGTCTAACTCTAATTTATACCGTCGAATGAAAATGTATTATATGTAACCAAACTCATACGTATGAAATGTACATAAAAATAAGCAAGAAAACGTAAGGTTACAATTAATAAATTTGAAGTTCATAATTTTGGTTTTTAGAAGATGTAAAGCGAAGATTATCTCTACCAGAAGATACATGAACTCTTGTGTGAAAAGAAATCTAAAACAATTAAGAAAAAAGGATTATAATATGTTGGATCTATATATCATTGGTATGGTCTCCTTGTCGTTAGTGAAGAAATTACATACAACATCATTAACAAGAAGTCAACGTTTGGACCGATTTGGGCATCATCAAACATGTAAGTAAAACCCTCAACTGCGAATAAGGCTTTCTTAATTCGACATTTGGTAAAGACATAAAATAAAGGAAGGTGACTCGATGACAAATCATATAAATGAATTTATTTTAATACTATCTAAGTTAGTATAAGGAATTAAATTTCAAGATGAAGTACACACATTTTTATTTTCTTCTTTGGTAGAATGTTGGTTTGGTGGTCACAGTAGTTAACAGTTCGTCAAGAACTACAAAGCTTACCTTTGAAAGCATTTACGGTTTGATTATATGTGAGGGTATATGTAGAAGGAATGTAAGGGAATCTTCTAGGAGTTTGTTAAGATCAGAAGATATAGGTAGAACATCCAATAGATAAGGTAACAGTAAAGGAAAGTCAAAGTCAATGAAGAAAGGTGTAACACCCCTCGCTAGGGTCTAGATGAAAACATACTTAAGAAAACCATATGTGGAGATTACCCCAAAAAACTTGGAGTTTATGTTTGTGAAAAAAAACACTTTGGTCCTAAAATAGTAAACTTAAATTGAATTTTGAAACAACTGAGGTTGTTAACAATAAGCATATAAAACACATATTCAAGCTTACCACAAATTTCATGGATTTCTTAAAGTCCAAGCTATTCCCTAACTCACGTTAAGGTCTTCAATTCAAGCATACATAAGAATAAGATGAGCAGTGGATTTTCCTAGTCAGTTACCGATAGTTCAAGAAGTGATCAGTCATCCGATGTGAAGCTCATCTGAGCATAGTGTATGATCTGAAGTAATTTGTCATCCAAGAAGTTCTCCATCCAATGAATTTCGATTCGAGCAATGAAGATGTCTTTGTCTTATTCTTGTTAGTGTTTAAGGAAAAAGATCTACACGATCATTTTTCAGTGTATGATTCTAATTATATCAGTTTTTAGTATCCCACTCTTTGTTCCTGTGGATATTAGTATGTTTGAATATTCCTTTAAATAGGCTTTTAAGTCTTCATTGTTTAGTACTTTTTATGAATTTGAAATACAATTAATCATATTCTCCTCAAAAACATTCTTATTGTTTTTTTATTACTTTTATTTTTCTATTTCTTGCATTTAATACAAGTTGATATTCATGTCTTTGACTGGATTGTTTCAGACTTAGACTAGAAGTTATTTTATTAGTTTTTGTAACGTCTGGTTCCTGGTATGCATTTAACTTTATTATTTATTCATTTTGGAAGAGCTGCTCGACGAGTTGGTGGCCCTAACTCGTCGAGTAGAAGGCAGATTATGCGCGGGTTTTAAATGAGTTACTCGACGAGTCGAAGTCCTGACTCGACGAGTAGGACAGGTTGGATGAAACCCTAATCTTTAGGGCTTGCATCCTATTTAAGCATCATATTTGGCCTCCATCCCAGCCTCCATCACCTCCAAACCCTAATCAACCTTGAGTGATCTTGAGCTATTTCTTGCCATTTTTGATGATTTAAGGCTAGAAGAAGGAGGCAAAGGCTTGGAGTTACAGAAGGAAGGTCGAAGATCCAGAGCTAAGGGCTCATTTCTGTCTTCATAGAGGTATAAAGCTTATACCTTGGCTGCTATTCGCTTAGATCTCCTTCTTGGCTTGTATGTTGTCATTTTTGGGCCATTTCCAACGTCATTCCGAGATTTGAACTCTTGGGGATGAAAGGACTTCAGATCTGGGCACTCTTGAGCTTTAGAAGCTCAAAGTTGCCACCTTTATTCAGCCATGGCCCTACTCTATGACTTAGACCTTCATTTTGGCTTGTATTGGGTGTTTTAGCTTCATAACACCATGCATACACGTAAAGTTAGCAACTTTACGTGTAATGCTAGTCTAAGGAGTCCAGATCTATGAGTTAGAAGCATTGGAATGGATTAGAATCGACTGAATGAATATGTCACATGGAGGACTCGACGAGTTGTTCTTGGACTCGGCGAGTCGGGTCGTGAACCCTAACCCCCTTTTCTGGTTGTGAGTGAAACCATTGAGTCTAGGAGATGACTCAGTGAGTTGGACAAGATTAGGACTCAGAAGTTGAAGAACTCGACGAGTTAAAGTCGATATGTCCCAATGTTATGACAGGAAGAACTAGACGAGTCTGGGAAGGGACTCGACGAGTTGACTTAGTTGACCACGAGGCTGAGTAATGCATGAACTCGCCGAGTTGGGAGATAACTCGACGATTTGGGGTTGACTAGGAGTTGACCTTGACTTTGAATTTGACCAGGATGTTGACCTTGACCGGGGGTAAATGGTCATTTTACCCTAGGGAGGATTATCAGATTTTGATTAAGTGTTATTATGAAATTGATAGTCGGGGAGTCACCGGAGCAGTAGTCAGAGATTCTTCACTCGAGTTTCAGCAGTCAGCCTTACGAGGTGAGTTTCCTTCAGTAGGAACGGGTCTACGGCACCAAGGCTAGCCCGTATATGTGATATGATAGTAGCTGAGTGTGGGCGGGGCCCGAATCTCGTAGTATTATTTAAGTATAGTTATGTGAATGATTGATAGGAGTAGATATAATTGTTTTCTATGTGATACTTGTATGCATGCTTGAAACATCCCAAAAATACTAGCCAAAAATTTCGTTTTCAAAATCATTTAACAAACATAAATATCATCACCATAGTATAAAATCATAAAACATGTATCTCAAAATCTCATAAAATCTGTCATCATATCACGATCTCATATAACATATCAGAGTAAACTCCCAGGCTAAGGAAACTGTGGTGTGTGCCATGCCATCATCCCGAGCCCTTTCCTTTGCTTGCTGAATTACCTGAAACCAAAACTGAAACTGTAAGCACGAAGCTTAGTGAGCTCCCCAAACTACCACATACCATACAAATCACGTATAGCAAATAAAATAACTCTGGGACTACTCCCTACTGCATCGGAACGAATCCCGACATCGGCTTACCCGACATCGAACTCCTGTACGGCATCGGGCTCACCTCGACATCTGACCGCCTCGGGCATCGGGCTCACCCCGGCATCGGGCTTACCCCGACACATACACAGCATAACATATATCATAAACATATAATCTGCATCGGAAATGCCCTGGCATCGGACCGAAGCCCGGAACACATAATCATAACATATAAACTAGCATACATCGGGCTTGCCCTGGAACATATAACTCATGGCATAATAATTACATACATCGGGCTTTCCCCGTCATCGGGCTTACCCCGGAACACATAACACATAACATATAAACATGCATGAATCACAAAGACATCAGGCATACATAACTACTTCTCGGGACCGCCCCGGCATCGGACCGAAGTCCGGAAACATATAAACTGCATCGGGCTAATCCCGGCATCGGGCTCACCCCGACATACTCTACAACTTAAACGAGCCGGCATTGTGGCCGTAGACCCGTTCCTACTGGAAGGAAACTCACCTCGTATGGTTGACTGCTGAAAAACTAGGTGAGGGATCCCTATCTGCTGCTCTGGCGACTCTCCGGCTATAATTCCATAACAACACTTAATCAAAAACTGATAATCCCTCTTAGGGTAAAATGACCATTTTACCGACTCGTCGAGTTCAAACGGTCATAACATCGGGACATCTCGATTCTACTCGTCGAGTCACTCCTTGGACTCGTCGAGTTCGTTTGTTTCTGAGTCTCACTCATGTCCAACTCGCTGAGTTATCTCCTTATGATGAGACAATGAATCAAGTATTGAACGAATTAGAGTGTAAATTCAAAGTAGAATTGAAAGATTTGAACACCGATGTAAATATGATCTGTTTGGCTCTATTACGCTTTTGCAAATTTTACAGAGTACAATGAATATTCTGTAAAGACTTCGTTACTAAGACACTAGTAACCACTCCTATTTATAGAAGAGAAAAGCGTACAAAAAATATACTAAGGACTAAACATGAAGCTTCGAATATTATGCCCTAGTAAAATACATTACAAAAATGTTCGAAGACCCTAAATACAAACTTCGACTATTACAACATTTCGACCCTAACAATCTCCCCCTTTGTAATCAAAGTCGAAGTCTTCAGTTTGTA